TAGGTTTACTGTGTTGTAACCCTAACCCTAACCCTAACCCTAGAAGTTACCATATCAAATAGTTACCAGGGTACGTTCCGGCAGTACCCTGGGGGACATAGACGCTATGAGCATTAGTTTTAGTTCCGTTTTATAGTATTGTTAGCTCTTGGTTTTAATTTATACTATAGCTCTCTAGGGGTAGAGTCTAGACGTCATATCGTTTGAAGAGTCGTTTGATCAATACTTGTAGCGCCACCTGGTGCATGATCAGGAAGAAAAAAGTTTCTGGCTATTTCAGTTTGGAGTGCAGTTTTGTGACAAGATCGTTTCTCCTTAGGTCGTTCGCAGATTTCCATCATGATTGACAATGAGTGATGAGAACATGGAACGGAGAGCCGGAGGAATGCAGGTGTCGCCGGGCATAGAGTTGGAATTCCAAGGTAATGCGATGCAAACACTCGTTGGTTGTTTTACGCACTCTTCTCATGGTTTGAATGCTAGTTGTGTGTGTATGTTGGGGGTAAGGAGGTCTGTATTTCTTCTTAAACAGTAGCCCATGGAACAAAGAGCTAGTTTATAATTAGCCGTCCCCCCATAGGTGCCGTGTCTTAGATCACACCACTCGGAAAACTCGCTCGGCACATCAGCCATTGAGCTAATTCCATATAACTTCCACCAATCAAAGCATGCCCCGGCAGTGTTGTTATTGACTTGTTACTCGTCCTTATTGCATAAAAGCGTCCAAAATCCCGCCTGACCACTAGGTGGCGTGACATGCAGGACTCGGTGTCAATGGGGACATCCCACCAAAGGTTGATTGAAATTAAGGCATTTGATACGTTTGATTTCGATCGCTGGCAAGTTAATGGGTTGTTACGGCTATTACAGCTGTGTGTGATTGGTAGACTAAATTCAGCAGACGATCCTGATGCCTTTTGGCAAAGAACATTAGCAAATAATATTAAAACTTGTGAGATTAAAAAAACCTCTCCTCTAACTGATAATTACGTGTGTTGGTGTGAGATTTTATTCGTTAGAAGGAAGAAGAGGTATAATCATTTACTTATTTTTACTATACGCGGAGGGGAACGCGTGAATATAGGTGTGCCAGATAGCAACCAACATGATGAGTGACAATGAATGCAGTGTCATGATGATATATTGCATAGGTTTACTAACGCAGATGGGGTCGTTGTCGTATCAGGTACTACAGATATGTACCCGAGGTAGTTTTAGGTTGTTTAGTATTATGTTTATATTTTTATATAAGGTATGTTTAGGGTTAGGGTTAGGGTTAGGGTACACTTCTGTAGTACAAGTCTGGTACACTTTGTGTATACATATATGTACCTCGGGTACATATCTGTAGTACCTGATATGACAACGACCCCATCTGCGTTAGTAAACCTAGATGCAATATATCATCATGACACTGCATTTAGCTTTACTAACATGAATAAGCAGAAAGCAATTTGTTGAGAACGAAATTTCGCCACAGTCGATCACGTAGCCAAAAAACATGATACTGGTAATCAGGTGTGTAAGGTGCTGTTATTAAGAACATAGATTTTCTAGTTAGCCCTGGTAGAGTACTTGGTCACGTTTGGATGCATTGGTGTTGCCACGACAACCAGCAGAATTGTAGAGATAAGCATCGGAGAATTTCCATGGTTGCTATTTCCTCGAGCTTAGTTGGCACCTCCCACCCCTCTCATTCTATATTTTGGTCCCACTGGTTGCTGCTAACCAATGTAAATCAACGGTATGAGCTTTCTGTATTGACGTTGGACTGATTCCAGACGTCCCGCCGTGGGGTCTCCCACAGAGTTGATGCCAACAACGACGTGTGGCGCTCGTCTATATTTATGTTATTATATGGTGATGTTATAAATAAAGCTAGCGGCGTTGAGATGCAGTGTTGGTGTGAGGCAAACTCCACGACAGACAGATTGCGCTCTCGCTCTGGCTCTCGCACTGAACGTATCCTGTCAGTTGTACGAAGGGGGCGCTGTATGCAGTTTGAGTGTGAGGTAGAGAAATGGCTGCAGTGAAAACTATTGAACGGGAATGGACAGGTAAATGTGTAGAGAGGTCGTGTGTGTTTGCGAATTGATCTAGGTAGTGCATATATGCTGCTGTCGGTCGATGAACGCATTGTAAGTATATAGATTAGCGCAAGTATAAGTGTATGCAATGCACTGTACCATGTGTGCTGTTCGGTTGATTACTAGCATTTCCTGCCGTCCTTCCTTTCCCCTTCCCTCTCTCTCTCTCTCTCTCGCTCTCTCTCTCTCTCTATTACACTCTCTAGCTCTCTTACGTGCTCTCTCTCTCTTTCTCTCCCCTTCTCTCTTTCTCTCCCCCTCTCTCTTTCTCTCCCCCTCTCGCTCTCTCTTTCATTCACTCCTCACCAGCTTTCTCTCTCTCTATATGTCTCTCTCTCTCTCCCTCTCTCTCCCTCTCTCTCTCTATCTCTCTCTCTCTCTCTCTCTATCTCTCTCTCTCTCTCTCTCTCTCTCTCTAGCTCTCTTAAGCGCTCTCTCTCTCTCTTTACTATAAATATTGTTTAACACAAGCTCACCAATCTGCTCTTTTCTGTCGTGATGTCCCCCTGGAGTGCAATGACGTTGGGTATTGATTTTATCGGCACAAGATCGATACCTAGAAACAAAGAAACGTGAGAAATTAATCTCGCTAAACAAATTAGCAACGAGAAACGTAGCACTCGCTTATTCATCACAAGACTTTACAGCCAAAAACTCAAACTTAATCCTCAGTTTACTGTCGATTACTCGTATCACTTGATATATATCATGTGTATACTTTGTCTCTATTACAACTGGAGAAAGTGGCTGCAATTAACCTTCACAACAACCGAGCAAAGTTGTTACATTCAGTGTGATGCGCTAAAGTCTCCCAGATAACGATATATGAGTGGACAAGGGAGGGATTTGTTTCAATATGATGTTGAAGTTCAAAGTTCCGATTTTCAGATTCATCTCTTATACGATCGATGTGTATTCAATCACACGTGTACGTGCTTACCTATGATCTGGCTCGATACTGGCATGAACTTGGATGCCACCTGCAACCAGCCACCAGGAGCCGCACACAGATCCACCAGAACTTGACATTTCTGCAGAAACTCAAACTTGCGATTCAGTTGTATCAACTTGAATGAGGCTCTGCTTCGATAGCCTGAAAGGGTGGGTTCATGACGTTAGTTATTTCAGCCATTTCATGACATACGTACGTAAAACGTGCAAACACGACAACATATACATTACAATTCACAAACAATAACTTAGTGAACTTATCAACTAGAACTGAAACTTTTCAGTTACAATTTACATATCTTGAAGTTGATCATACAGTCCTTGTTACAGACTTGACGTGACGCTTGACAATGTCAAATCCTATATTAGGCATACAAGTACTGTGCATTTAGACTGGTTCGCGGCTCCATTGTTTGTGACATGCGTCGCGAGTTTAGCGCCGGAGACCAGTCTACGTCTTGGCTAGCATTATGGGTTATTTATGACGTAATCGTAATGTCACGTGCCGATGGAAACGGCTGCGATTGGCTATTTGTAAAGTGTCGCTGGCGACTGTCGCTGGAGAATAGAAACGTTCCTAAATATTTTTGTCATCAAGGTTGTCGCCGGTCGTTGTCGCGTGTGTGTGCAATGCCAATGGCTCATAGGAAACAATAGTTTCTAACTTTCTGAAAAGTCGTTTGTCGTTACGGTCGGTCGCTGTCGCTGCAGTGTGTCTTGGGCAGATGGGGTCGTTGTCGTATCACTAGTATCAGGTACTACAGATATGTACCCGAGGTATAGTTTTAGGTTGTTTAGTATTATGTTTATATTTTTATATGAGGTATGTTTAGGGTTAGGGTTAGGGTTAGGGTTAGGGTACACTTCCGTAGCACAAGTCGGGTACACTTTGTGTATACATATATGTACCTCGGGTACATATCTGTAGTACCTGAATCTGATACGACAACGACTCCGACCCCTTGAGCGTGTCTTGGCCTTAACTGCAGTCAGTGAGTCACACTCACACACTCACACTCACAGTGCGTTTTGTGTTTCGTCGATCACCGTATTTGTACTTACCGGTTTCTTTAGCTAACTTGTAAAACTTGTCCTTCCTTGACTTCCCTGTCTTCGTTTTCTTCGCCATATCTGATTATTTGTTTGTAAACAATCTATACGGATCTAAACAACCAGGACGGTTCCTTCGTGCGTACTTTCGCACATGTTGCAGAAACATGCGGCGTGTAAACGTCATCAACATGTGTGGATCATCACAAGTAATGCTCTCTTGTTATACGGAAACGATGACGAACATCAATGACGCGTCATGGATGATAAAAGGTACAGCGAGTGAGTACAGGTACCATAGAAATAATATAGATACCGGTATTATTTCTATGACAGGTACAGTACAGCTACAGGTGCACCCAGGTGAGTTTAGATTCGTAAACAATCCGTGTGCCAAATAAGACATTGATTAATTATTAAATATAGGTGCATGTTGCTTGTAGTGGCTAGTGCATTTGCACGCTAGTTTAGTAGTTACTCAACTTTACTGTACGGCGTCTGTTACTGTTAGGGTTGGATTGCAAGAAACAGTATTGCTAGGGTTAGAATATTACTATTAGATATTAGATTATATTCGATTATTTAAGTTGTGTATAGACAATCCGTCGCACAGCCTGGTCGGGCTAGGCGATTGTTAGCTCTAGTACTATAGCCCGCGGATCGCTGCCGCAGGGCTATAGCACATTCTGCCATAGATGTAATCTAAGCAAATGGTCCAACTGATGTGACCAAAAATTTATCCCCAAAACGTAAAATGATCGGGCTTTTTAACACTTATCTATCAACATGGACATCTCACCTATCTTTTTGAACACTTCGACAACTTTACACCAGGTATTTATGCTGTTATTCCTCAAAGTCTTAGCACTGAAGAGTCACGCGTGCACACATAAGCATAGATACAATAATGTAACCCAAACCCAAGAGGATAGGGAGGAGACCCTATAAAGCTACCCTATCCTCTTGGGTTTGGGTTACATTATTGTATCTAACATATGCAGCGCCAGTACACAACGAAATATAGGTGAAGGTTCATACCTTTATAAAGTCCATAAATGTAGTACGACCCGAACTCGCCGAAACTCCTAGCAAAAGATGGCGGGTCCAAGACGACGCGATGACGTGTACGGTCAGCTGACCCGCAGTCACGAAGGGAGATAAGTACTGTACTGTACTGCTACTCCCGTAGTACACACTTGTCACTATACATGTATAGTGACATGTAGTGGCGCAACCTCTTCTTTCTTCTTCCACATGCACAATAATGGTTGACAATGGTATATGAAATACCAACATTTTTACAGTACATAGTTTCTTGACGTAAACAAACGTATATACAGATGCTGAGCGGCACAGCTACTATGTTACATAGTCTTTCAAATACTTTGGGGGCTTCCGGGCACGTCGTGGTCTTGTAGTTGGAGCCTCTACTTGGTCAGGTTCACACGACATTGATGTATCGTCATTTACACATTGTGGTGTAGATTTTGCATGTAAATCTGATGGCGCTATTTGGGGAACTATATGCAGTTCATCAGTGGCGTCCATCATGTCCAGTGGTTGAATCAGGGGTGATGGTACTACAGCAGCATGTTGCAAATGCGATCTACACTTCGCACTATCGCACAGTGGAAGTATATCATTGCAACAGACCTCACAAGTGCTTTCTACCAGATCCCGTTATCAAAGACATCTATGAAATACTGTGGAGTTGCTACCCCCTTTCGTGGTGTGCGTGTTTACACAAGGTGTGCAATGGGCATGCCTGGTTCGGAAACTGCACTGGAAGAGCTAATGAGCAGAGTTCTTGGAGACTGTATCCAGGATGGCTGTGTGGCTAAGTTGGCAGATGACTTGTATTGTGGAGGAAACAGCCCGGTAGAGTTATTGGTCAACTGGGAGCGAGTTTTATCTGCTCTAGACAGGTCTGGTTTGTGTCTGTCTCCTTCAAAGACAGTTATTTGTCCAAAGACCACTAACATCTTGGGTTGGGTCTGGTCACAAGGAACACTGTCTGCTAGTCCACATAGGATTGCAGTTTTGTCTTCATGTCCTCAACCAGAAACTGTCCAAGGCCTACGGTCCTTCCTTGGAGCATACAAAATGCTAGCTCGTGTACTACCCGGATGCTCGCATTTATTAGCTCCACTAGAAGACATTACAGCTGGTCGACTGTCTGCAGACAAGATTGTGTGGAACGATACAGGTTGTGAACATTTCGCTCGTGCCCAGAAATCTTTGAATTCTCACAAGAGCATCTCACTACCTAGGTCTTCCGACCAGCTTTGGATCGTGACAGACGGATCTGTGAACAATCGTGGAGTAGGGGCTACATTCTATGTAACCAGGAATAACAAGCTGCTGTTAGCAGGGTTTTTCAGTGCTAAGCTCAGGAAACATCAGGTCACGTGGCTTCCATGTGAAATTGAAGCGTTATCAATCGCTGCTGCAGTTAGGCATTTTAGCCCATACATCATACAGTCTGAGCACACCCCGTATTTGCTCACAGACAGCAAACCCTGTACTCAAGCATTTGAGAAATTGTGTCGTGGTGAGTTTTCTGCCAGTCCGCGTGTTACTTCATTCTTGTCAGTTGTGAGCAGATACCAAGTCTGTATACGACATCTCGCGGGATCTGTGAACATTCCCTCTGACTTTGCGAGTCGAAACGCTCTAGAGTGTTGTGAACCACGATGCCAGATTTGCATCACACACGCACACATTGATGCTCGTCGTCTCACGGCACGTTCGTGTGTTTGTTGCAGCGACGCGCTGCGTGCGGGCGGCTCGGCGGTGGACGCCGCCATTGCGACGCTGCTGTGTAATGGTGTGCTGAGCATGCAGAGCATGGGCGTCGGCGGCGGCTTCTTCATGACCGTCTACTCAAGGTCAGTGCCAGCATCCTCCCGTCGCCACGGTGACGCGACCGTTTCGCGCTCGCTTTGTTTTTTTGCTTGCGCGTATTTTTCTGTGTATGGTGTTGTTTTTTTCCGTTTCGTTTCGTTTTTTCGTTGTTTTATTGGCTTTTTTGTTCGATTTATAGTTTAGTTTTATTAGAATTTATTTTATTTTCATACTAAATTTATACATAGTATGTTATTTGCTTAGGATGTTAGCTTTTTTGTTGCAAATGGACAGAGGCCATATAATATGGGACGGTGAAGTAATATAGAGGGCATAATTTTATGCTACAGAGGCATGCCATTTTGTTTTTGTAACCGCGTGCCGTAGTGTCATGCCCACCCACCGGTAGAGGGTAGAGGAAAGGGAGGAGTGCTCGTAATATTATGAAGAACATGATGTGATGCAATGCCGGCGAAAAAATGGTTCGCGCTTTAAAAATTAATGTCTAAAGAGTCTTGTCTAGTGCGGTGCGATCATGGAAACCCTAGCATTGATGACAAGTTGATGTTCTGTTGTCTTAATCCGATAGAGAGAAACAAGAGGCGGTCGTCATCGACGCTCGCGAAGAGGCACCAGGTGGAGCCACCGAGGATATGTTCAAGGGCGATTCGGACGCGTCGCAATTCGGTGAGCGGTACAAGATGGCAGCTCGCCGTAACGCAGGCGCTGAGGCATTAACCCAGAGAAATTACTAGTGATTAAGATTATATATTCGAGATTAGATAAGAGAGTTTTTATTTCCTAGAGATTATAATTCTAAGATTCACAGCTCGTTAGATTAACGACATTAATATTCGATTATTCCATCGACGTGATTATTACAAGGTGATAAGTGTATGCTATATCCCATTAAATAACATGAGAATCATGATAAGCACGTGCTATTTGAGTTACTGACTAGTACTTCAACTGAGAAGTAGATCCCGTGCTTACTGTAGACTTACTGTGATCTACCGTAATAGTTTAGCATCGTACTGTATCCCCCCACGACCCTCCTTTGACCTAACGCGATATACATCCGAGAAGAGACTCGCTCACGTGCGTTTTTCCCCCACCAGGTGGCCTAGCCGTCGCTGTTCCCGGGGAGCTGCGCGGTTACCGGGTCGCGCATGATCGATACGGAAAACTTCCTTGGAAGGATCTCATAATGCCGACCGTGCGGCTGTGCCGGAAGGGATTTCTCCTCAAGAACTGTCCGGGCTGTCTCGCCAGGAAGATTCAGATCAAGGCCGACCTGATCATGCAGCAGGAGAGCATGAGGTCAGTTGCCGCGCGTCCTTTATAGAGAGGTGTCCTTTACAGAGAGGTGTCCTTTATAGAGAGGTGTCCTTTATAGAGAGGTGTCCTTTATAGAGAGGTGTCCTTTATAGAGAGGTGTCCTTTATAGAGAGGTGTCCTTTACAGAGAGGTGTCCTTTATAGAGAGGTGTCCTTTATAGAGAGGTGTCCTTTATAGAGAGGTGTCCTTTACAGAGAGGTGTCCTTTATACAGAGGTGGCTGTTGTGAAGAGGTGGTTTCACTGTGTAACTGCCACTCAAGGTGGGAGTACTGAAGGTGTCCTTTATACAGAGGTGTCTGTTGTGTACAAATGGTTTTATTGTATAACTGCCACTTGAGGAGGAAGAGCCATGAAGTTAGTTAGCTTCATAGACACAGGTGTCTGTTATATAGACTATATAGATGTTGTTTTACTGTGTAACTGCATAACACATCGTTGTTTCGCGTGACGTGATGTCTCGCGTTGTTGTGTGTCGCGTCTCGCGTCGTTATCACATGACGTTTCATCTCGCAGCATCGCGTGACGTTACATATCGCGTGACGTTCTTGTGTTTCCGCGCGCGCGCGCATGCAGGGACCTCCTCGTGAACCCGCGCACGGGCAAGCTGTACCGCGCGGGAGAGGTGATGCGTGTGCCGCGGCTCGCTGACACGCTCGAGGCGATCGCGCTCAACGGCAGCGACGCCATCTTCTACGACGGGGAGATCGGCGAGAAGCTCGTCGCCGACGTCAACAAGTTCGGTGAGTCACGTCGGCGGGGGCGACGGTGGCGGGGGCTTCTTCTGTTTCTTCTTCTGCTGCTGCTGCTGCTGCTGCTGCTGCTGCATTTTCTGTTTCTGTTCTTCTTTTCTTTCCTTTTCTCTTTCTCCTTCTTTTTTTTTATTCTTTTTTTTGTTCTTTTTTCTTCAGCTTTTTTTGTTTTTGTCGTTATTATTATTATTATTATTATTATTGTTGTTGTTGTTAATAATATTATGTTTATAGTAATTTTTCGCAAGCATGAGGTATAAAGTGATAGCATGTATTTATTCCTCTGATGGCATGACTGACAGTATTATACACAATGCTGCTGACTCACCATGACTTTTTTCCCCACCAGGTGGCAACATGAGCATGGACGACCTGCGGCGCTACGAGGTCAAGGTTCGCGATGCGATCAGCGTGAAGATGCAGCGAGACGGCGACGTCCTGCACTCGGTGCCGCCCCCTGGTGGCGGCGCCGTGCTCCTGCTCGCGACGGCCATTCTCGACGGTAATGTGGCGTCGGCGGTGGCGTTGTGACGTCCATACTAAGCTCACATGCACGCACTCATAAACGCACGCACACACGCACGTACGCACACATACACACCTACTGACATACACACACGCACACACGCACGTACGCACGCACTCATAAACGCACGCACTCATGCACACACACACCGACACATGCACGCACATACACACACACGCACACATTTAAATATAAATATATATATAATATCGACATAAGTATGTGTATGCAAGCGTGTATGTATATATGCATGTATAGATGTATATGTCAAGCTTCTCCCCATGTCTCTAATGCTCATCGAGTCCGTCACGCCATCGAGGCTAAAGCTAAGAACAGTATTCTTACAGAAAGTCCCCAAAGTATTTTTGTCAATAGTTCCATCCTACAAATATCTCCACTAACACAGCCAAGATCGTCTTAGGAACCGAACGTATTCGTCACAATCGATTCGACGAAATTTATCCGTGCTCCCAGGTTTTGTCTGTTCTCTTGCATCATCTGTTCTCTCATCTTAGTAAATTCATCTGTCTTCTGTATAATTCTATTCATAAATTTATTCTCATTCTGTCTTCATTATCTTCTGCTAGTCAATCACGCTGTCTTATAGTCTTCTTATCCCGCGTCTGTCTCTCGCAGGGTATAAGTTCGACTCGGGCAGCATTGCTACGGACGACGTCACGCAGCTGACGTACCATCGCGTTGCCGAGGCGTTCAAGTTCGGCTACGCTCACAGACTCCTGCTCGGAGACCCGGCATACGTCAACATGACTCAGGTGCGTACACGTTCCGCCATCTATCGGCGGAAAATGTCGTTAAAATAACGAGAGTGGCAAAATCTTTCAATGACAATGCTAATCGGTGTGCGAAAAATATCGCATTATATAACGATCCTCGTTTATCGTTCGTATAACGACCGTTAATTTTGACTCTTTGTTAATCATTTGCGTAGTGAATCGCATCGTTTGTTATATGTGTTACAAAGTGAAATTAAAAAAAAAAAAAAGTAAGTGTGACGTTTAAGCGGCAGTAATTAAGTACGACATTCAAATGTCGGTAACGAATGCTGTCGGCGTCGGGCGGGGGCGTAACCTCGTTAGGACGCTAACGAGCCTCGTCTCGTTACGCCAACCAACGACCGATCCGAATTTCTCTCTCACCGTGGCAACGCGATTGCTTTCGACAGCTGGTGAACAACGTGACTTCGAGCGATTACGCGGCGGGTCTGCGGGCGCGCATCACAGATGGCAGCACCCACGACCCGGAGTACTATGGCGTGAAGACGGGCGGCGGGGACGACCACGGCACGTCTGACGTCGCCGTTGTCGCGAGCAACGGCGACGCCGTGTCCGTCACTAGCACCATCAACACGCTGTAAGCGATGCTCTCTTGTTTTTTTGTTGAGCGCCGGCTGAGCGACGCTCTCTTGTTTCTCTCTCAAGCGTGGAAAGTGAAGCTCTTTTCGTATCTCTGAAGCGTTGAACAAGCGATGCTCTCTTGTTTCTCTCCTTTCCTGAACGAGCGACACTCTTGTTTCTCTTGAGGTGAACGAGCGACGCTCTCTTGTTTCTCTCAAGCGCTAAACGAGCGACGCTCTCTTGTTTCTCTCAAGCGCTAAACGAGCGACGCTCTCTTGTTTTTCTCGTGGGCCGGACTAGCGATGCTCTCTTGTTTCGCAGGTTCGGCGCGATGCGAAGGTCGCCATCTACTGGCGTGATCCTGAACAACGAGATGGACGACTTCTCGTCGCCGAACTCGACCAACTTCTTCGACCTCCCGCCGTCGCCGTCCAACTTCATCCGGCCGGGCGCGCGACCCGTATCGTCGATGTGCCCGGCGATACTCGTCGATCGCCATGGCGACGTGAGACTCGTCGTCGGCGCCTCGGGAGGGTCGCTGATCCCCTCCGCGACGACCTGGGTGAGTGCGCGGCAATGACAAGAGAACAGTCGGGACAACAAGCGAACGTTGCTTAGAACTGACGACCGACGAAAACGAGCGAACAGTTGGTGTTTCGTTCGCCGTGGGTAACGTCGTATAAGGATATGTATAACTTTTGTTGTGTGTAAGAGTGTGGCGGTGGGTAGCAGTGCTCAATTTTAACAGTCGTCCGGTCGTCCGTGACGACTGGATTTTCTCTCGGGCAACTACAAATTGCTTCCGTGCCGTTGTCCCCGGTGTCAACTCTATAAATTTTATCTTCATAATGCGCGCGTTCATTTTACATACGGCCAGGGTTGCCACAATACGCTGCCAAACGCTACAGTCTAGACGCATTGTCTGCTTGCTTGATACAAAGTATCAACATCAACGTGTTTAACAACACAGTTTCGTGTTCATTTTCAAATTTTTACTCATATCTGTTGACCTTGACACGAGTGTTAGTAATGTTAGTAGTGTAGTTAACTTAATGTAATGTTTATGAATAAATTTCATGCCAACTTCTTATGGTACTATTTTTAATACGTCATGTGATCCCAGAATCAGTTTACCACATTACAATATGTTATTCTCTCATATACTGAGTGAAACAATGCGAATGGCCATGTCTGCTGTCACTGCATACGTACAAAATGTACATGATTAGGGCCTTTTGATTTACAGCACTGAGCAATCACGTGAGCAGAGCACATGAGCACATGTTTAAATTAATAGCGCGGACACCAAAACTCTTGAGAGGACACCCATATGCTACTCCTTGTGTTGTCCTCCGGGACAACCAAAAAAGTTTTTGTTTCTTCTGGGGGTAGGGTACGAAAACAAGCGAACGGTCGGCGTTCGTTTGCCGCGTATAACATACTGAGAACTGACGTCTGACGAAAACGAGCTTTTGTTGTGTGTAAGTGTGTGGCCTTGGGTTCGGCGCGAAAACAAGCGAGCGTTCGGCAGTCGTTTGCTGTGGATAACACTGTGATAAGATTGCATGTGTGATATATGTAGGATTTTGCAACGTGTGGGTAGCCGCTCAGAGGTGGGAGCACAAGTCACAGATGGCTGCCATGTTTGCTACATTTGATTTTTCTGACACGTAATTACGGCATTTGCCCGGTTCGGTTGTGGTATTACCCTTTCGTTTGATTGCAATATTGATCTGACATTTGATTGCAGTATTTTGTTTGATTGCAGTATTTTACCTGACGTTTGATTGCAGTATCAACCTGATGTTCGATTGCAGTATTTTACCTGACGTTCGATTGCCGTGTTTTACCTGACTTTTGCTTGCAGTATTAACCTGGCATTTGACTGCAGTAATTCCCTGACGTTCGATTGCAGTATTTTACCTGACGTTTGATTGCAGTATCAACCTGATGTTCGATTGCAGTATTTTACATGACATTTAATTGCACTATTTCAGGCGTTCGCACACAACCACTGGTTCGAGCAGCCGCTCAACGTTGCCATAGATACGAAGAGGCTGCATCATCAGCTGATACCTAATGAGCTGACATATGAGGCAGGATTCAGTAAGGTAACGATATGGGGAGCTGTAACAGGGGTGATACTCCATTAGGAGTAAAATGTTAAATCCATTAATGGTTAATGGTTATGTTATAGGTTAGGGTTAGGGTTAGGATTATCAATCATTAATCATTAATCATTAATCATTAATAATATCAAAGTTGGGAACACTCCTAATGGACCGTTAGCCTGTAACATCCCTAACGACGTCCTAAGCGAATTTACCCTCAGAATGTAGCAAGCGAGAGCAAATCGGTGCCAAATTAAGACGAAGAAGGCCATTGTAACAAACCGATCGCATTTGTTAGTAGAGCAATTGCTGCAGATATGTCGTAGGAGAAGTCTCGAGAATGTGTTGCGGAGCGCGTCTTCTTTTTCGTATAAAAAAGCTCACGTTTTTAAGTTACTTGGAACTAAAAACCAAGTACTTAGTTTACTTAACTTGGTAATTTTAGTACTACCACTTACATAGCTACCTATTTCTTATACTACTTAGTCACATTATAACTACTTAGTTATTGTAGTTTAGTAACTACAGGGACTTAGTTTACTGAGTTACTTTATTACTACTACATACGTAACTACTCTACTAGACCGTCACGCCGTCACGCGCTTGCTGCCCCGCCGCCATTTAACGATCTCGCCGTACGTCTTTGCAGAGCATCCTGCGTGGACTCGCCACCAGGGGGCACCAGCTGCGCGAGTTCTCCGTCGGCGACTCGGTAGTGCAAGCGATCGAGGTTTTGCGCTCGAACGAACAACGCTCGCTGCTCGCCTGCTCCGACTGGCGCAAGGGAGGTCTGCCGGACGGGTACTGAGCGCGGGGGCCGGATATCCTGATGACCACCGTCCAATGTTGGCTGCGCCCGGCTCTCGGTCCATCTGTCTCCCGCGGTGGGGGGTGGGATGTGCGCGGGGGAGTGGTGGAGTGCGTGTGGTCACTCGCGTCCCTATCATTGTTCCCTGCTCCTGTTTATGTTCACTTAACTCTGATGTTCCCTCCACCTGCATAGGTTCACTCCACACTCCACTCTGTTGTTCCTTCCCTCCTGCATAGGTTCACTCCACACTCCACTCTGTTGTTCCTTCCCTCCTGCATAGGTTCACGCCACTCTCATTCATTTGTTCCATCCCGACTCGCAATGCCCCCTGGTGTGACGCATCAATATTGGCACATCACTGTTTACATTGTCGTGCACAGTGTAATGTGTAATGTGTAAGTGTTTTATATCTGCGCGAAAGAGAAAACTCGTTGTTGGGATGTAGTTTTAACTAATCTGTATAGATTGTATAACCGTAATTTGTATAAATCGTATAAAATATTAATTTATATAAACCGTGAAATGTTACGAATTTGGCATTTATATGATATATATATATATACCATTTAATGCTGTTCTGTTGTATATATCGATTGATATTAAAAATGCCACCACAATGTTTATAACAAAAAATGTTATTGTTAATTTCGTATACATTTATCAAAAGAAGAATAGTTCCAGGTACAACATTACTATATACACAATACTGCAATCCAACTCCATCTCCACCTCTCTTATCCCCACCTCTGGTAATGTTCTTTTTCTACAGTAACACGAGGATAAACACAAGAAAGTAGTATATAGTACGTCCACGTAATTACAGGAAAGGAAGCCTTGGTGTAAATTCTACGCAAAAATCGATTTGGTTTTGAGGGAATTCGTTGATCTCTCTTTAATAAATCTCTCGTTAAGCTCTTTAATCTCTTTAATCTCTCCCTCGTTGATCTCTCTTTATCTCTTTATCTCTTTATCTCTTTATCTCTCTTTAATCTCGTTGATCTCTCTTTAAGCAGTGACACATGGTTTACGTAATACACGTTATTACTGAATCAGGAGTGAGGAAAATCAAATTTACCTTTAGTGATAGCTGACTGTATAGATATGTTTTCTTCTCAAGTAGAGAATAAGGCCGAAAGATTGCAGAGACCAGACGTCCTCGGTGCTCATTGTCGGTTTATCCACAATTTATTGTGCTATCATATTATAATTATATAATATATATAACATAACGATATGAGAAAAATAGGATAAAATTTGTGACACATTGTCTGTGACACATACATAAGTAATATATTTAAATTCTTTTCTCAAAAACCCCAATCCGGTTATACGTGAATAACAAGTGCCGCAGAGCGACTTTGCAGAACGAGTGCTCAACTGACGTGTACTGTAGCCGGGTATTCTTCTGATAAACTCACTGGCAACCGAATCAAGCGCGCCCTCCCGCCTGGTGATTTCGCGCTGGTGATGGGTTTCCTCCCCATCACACTATACATCGAATATTAAGAGCGTAGGTCGAGCCGTTGAGATTTGTGCCGCAATTCCGTATTTCCTCCTATACCTTAAGTTAAGGGGGAAATATTCCCCCTCCATTGACACATCTTGACCTTTGACCCTCGACTCCCAAATTCGACATCCCGAGTCCTTTTCGCGACCCCCCCCCCCTTCGACATCCCGAATATCAAGACCGTACGTCTAGCGGGTAAGATTTAGACTGTTGACGGACGCACGGACGGACGCACGGACGCTCATGCGATTCTACAAGCTGCATCCGACTATGTCAGATGAGCTAAAAACGATGAAAACAGTTGTATATGATGTAAACGATGTACATTATAAAAGTATGACGAATAACTTTATTTTGTAGGCCTACGAGATTGACGTTAGCTAGACATGAAGCTCACTAAAGATTAATGTCCATGAAACGATAAAGGAGTGAAAGGATGCTCATACCCTATATTACAAAACGATAACATTCTCCTTTCTTAACATCCTCCTTTCTTAACATTCTCCTTTCTTAAC